ATTATTGGAGAATTTTTTTTTGTCTTTATTCTGATATCATATTAGTTGAGGAAAGGAAGAGAGGTGTGTTCCTTTAGTTGTGTTCATTCATATTTATTTTTCTTGCGTTCTGTATTTTGGGTGCTCGGGTGAATCCAGTCTCCTCTGAGGGTGCTAGAGCAGCTCCAGCCCTGCCTTGCCGGAGCAGACGGGATGTGCAGCACAGAGCAGCACCCGTGGCAAAGCCCCTGCCCGGCTTCGGCCACAGAAACAGCCCTCTACGACACCAGCGGCTTCCCAAGATCATGAGTCACTGCCTATCGCACAGAGCCGGTTTTGTTTTTTCACTGGGGTTATGGGTTTTTCTCAGTAAGTTCTGAAGAAGCAGAGAGCTGATGAGTGTACTGACCCCTGGGAACAGGAATCGTCCTTCAGGAGTGATTGAGCTGTAAATATTTTCTGTCAGACCTCTGCTCAAAGACAGTCTTGTGATCTAGCTCGGGCATCTAATTTAGCCAGTACATATATTTGTAAACCATTGGGACTGCTATTTATCTTTCTAAGTAACTCAAAATTTCAGTCCAGTGAAACAACAAATGAAGACGGGCCCAATGCTAATGGAGTTAATGGAGTGTAGGACATGCAAAGGAAGTACAGGACTAGTTTATTCCTTGTAGAGAAGGAAACTAGTTTGTCTCTCAGATACTTGTAAAGTATTTAAACACTCCCCACAAGTGTTTGTTTGGGATTTATTTTCTTCTTGTAGAGATTTTCTTCAACAAGATATTTTTGCGCTGTGTTTTGAGGTGGATAAAGTTTTCTTTTTGACTTTTTATGTGCATATGTGCATTTGAACGGGAGCCCTGCAGCGACTTCACGGAGAATCGGCAGGAAAGGGAGAGGCTGTAGCTGGGCGGCTCTCCCTGCCGCATCCCGGCGCCGCGAGCTCCGCGCTCAGCCCTCGCCAAAGGCTGCAGCCGTTTGGTCACTAATATGGGCCACCAATTTCACATACGGCCACCATACGGGCCATATGGGCCCACCAATTTCACATGAATCTGCCAAAGGTCCTTCCCATGCTGCTGCAGCTACCCCTGTTACTGCCTTCTCCAAGTCCCACTGCTGCGAGGAAGATGATGATGACAGAAGAGTTAGAAAGGTGCCTAGGGAAAGGGTGAATCTTACTTCAGCAAGTTCTTCTAACAAGCGATGCCTCCTTTCCTTTTAATGGAAGCTTGTTGTATACCTAAAGTCAGTGTAATATTGGAATTAGACTTCTATTTTCGGCATTACAGAGTTGTTTTTCTTAGTTGATAGATGATTTTATATTATCTTGTTCTGTGGCCCTGCCAATATAGAATCTTGACATTATTTGACAGATCTTAATGTAATTTACTTACCCTGTTTTGGGGCTATAGATATCAGAAAAATTGGGGTGATAGTAACAGTGAAGTGGCAACAGAGATGGGCCTTTCCTAAGGCCTTCCAGAAAGCTGGTGACTAAAACTAGATAGAAGAATTCAGTTTTGCGTAGTAGAAGTTTCTGCTTTTTGTTGTTCATGCTTTGCTTTGGAAGGAACATTTGCTTTAAGATTTTTTGTTTTGAGGAGAATTAGAGAAAAATGAGAAATTGAAAGGTTATTTACTAGGTATGTCTCACTAATCTTTGAGGCATCCTCATTTACCTTTGTACTCAGTCACATTCGCACAAGAGAATTTTTCCAACTCTCTACATTCCCATAAGGTTTCTAGATACCAGGGTACCAAGTAGTTTTCACTACATATTAACTTGTAATTTCCGTGTCTCGCACTGAACAAATCCCTTGGCATGATATAGCAGTGATAGTAGCAACCTGATGGTTGCAGAGGAGGCTGAAGCCAGAAAGGAAGGAGCACCTGGAAAGAATTAGTCCTGGGCCTAAGTGTGATCTCCCCGAGTTGGGCAACAGCAGAAGGGTTAGGGCCGGCTCCACACGGTTAGACTCGTGAGCTGTAGGCAGCAGCGCAGCCCCGCTGAGGCGCCCGGCGCCTGCTCACGTGATTCAGCAGCTCTGCTGAGGGCTGTGCTGCCTTGTGAGACTCAGCACCCATGGGCTGTATCGGACACGCTGCAAATTCCGCTCACGCTCCTTGGGATTATTCACTGGCAACGTGATAATCGTCCTGTCGGGTTCATTAATCTATTATTGCAAACAGGCAATTTCCTACCAATTCAACTTCAAGATGTAGGCATTCTTGCTCAGTGTATTTTTATTTTGTTGCACATTAGCACTAGAAATGGACAAAAATATCAAAGGTTAACATTTGTTCTCATTATAAACTTTTCCCCCCAAGTCTTTCAACATTATATGTGTTCTGTAGGTCTAGTTTAGCAAATGATATTGCACAGACCAGTTCTGGCCCTTCATACTGCAAATGCCATTACCAGGTTGTGATTATAGGAGAGGAATGTGCCATGTATATGGTACATTTAAGAAGATCCTGGCATGCAAAACTTAGCAAACAGAAAGAACATTAAAATAATCACAGTTTATCTTGAAAACGTGTACTGGGAAGTAAAAAAACTCAAATTGTCCATAATAATGATTCAGGAACTGCTACCCAGTATGGTGGCTGGTATAAAAAAGGATATTGGAGCTGCCTACGCTCAGGTTTATTTTAGCCGCTGTTTTGCAGGGGTGGCAGAGTGTCTGTGTAGCTGATACATTCTGCAACACCATTTCTATCTTTGGGAAGTTGCAGTTGGTATTTTGGGGCTTGGGACGTCAAAATCCTCCTTACATCCCCCTGTACGCCATGAAGTAGATGAGCTCGTAGAAGATGCTGTGCTGGCAGGAGCACCGAGCGCAGCACAACGCAGGGAGCGCGGGTGGCGGGGCTGCAATACGCTCCCGATAACGGCCCTGCGCGCGGCTCACGGCGCGTCCCGGCGCGCGAGCGCGGGGATTTGGTGTTAGCGCGTGCTCTGTGGGCTTACCTGGGGGATTAGGAGAGAGAAGGGGTTTCCCCAAGGCTGTGGAGGAAGCCAGCGCTCAGGCACCCGTGCAGCCCCGTTCTGGGTGTGCTGTGTGTGGGGTGCGCAGCCCGCGCGCCCATTCTGCACCGCGTAGGCGGAACGGCAGGAACGGAGACGCTGCTGCGTACGGAGTAACACGTCTCCGCTGAACAGAGTGGCAGGACATCGTGGATTCTCATTTAAAGACCTGGGAAGCAGAGCCGGGGGTGGGAAGGACCCTCTCTGTTTTCGGCAGTGAGTTTTGCATCAGGCCTAGATACCCAAAGAGAGAAATGCCGCTGTTTCCATGCGGGACGTGTCAGACTCGCAGCGCACGATTGATGTGAAAAACTAAATATTCAAATACAAAGATGAGGCACGGTAGTCTTAAGGAACGCATTTAGCTCCTCCATTTAGGAGGATTTGCCCTAAATAAGTTACCCACATAAATCTAAATTTTTGAGTGTATTCAAGAACAAAACTCGTGTTGTAGTTTAAACCTGTTCTACCTGAAGTACTATCCAAGGTTTGAGGTAGGATAAGCATGGTTTTATTTCAGTATAAAGAAAGACAATTTTATCTGAAATTCTTCTACCCTGTGTCACACGTTAAAAACTTCTTAATACACAGGGATATGAAAAAAATACATATATATATTTCTGTCCTGTTTATGTTTGTGTTTGAGGACATCTTACATTGTTACTTCTTCTGGTACTCTTTTTCACATTTATTCCTTTTGCTGTGTTTCCTGCTATGAATCTGAACCCTTGCTCTATTGTGTCAAACACATTTCAAGCTGACCCCAAAAACCACCGAGTTGAATGAAAGATTCTCTGCTGGCTTCAGTGAAGACAGTCCCTCATGGCAGGAGTTTGGTGTATGCACTCAGACTTAGTGTTTTAAGATTTGGGAAGGAAAGGCATGTGCGTTATTTAATGTGCTCCGTCTTAAAGTTAAGAATAAACACAGATTTCCTTCATGAATCATAAAACCCGTCAAAGCATTGCCATACATGTGCATTTCCAGGACAAGATGGGAATGCTACTTAAATAGACCCTCCAAATATATGACATGGATATATTAACTTATGACAAATGTGGAAAAATAAATATTGTGGCCCTTCAGGAATCACTTTAAATTTGCAAAATGTGTGTTCAGAGGAAGTGTACGGATTTGCAGGTATACAATATGTATACTGGTATAATTTGTATAGAATGAGCCCTTTCAAGATAATTTTCTATTTGTGATGTTGGTTCCAATCTAAAGCACTTAAAAACACACATTTTCAGTCATGTGAGCACCCCGCTGAACTCAAAAATGAAACCACATTTTCAGACTTTAGAGGCGCTAGGATATGTGCTTGAAATTAAACATATGCTAACCTCTGGTTTTTAAAATATGATCAGGACCATATTTTAAAATGTTTTGCATGCATGAAAACATGAATTTTTTAAACACTTAGTGTCTCTAAATTAATGAAATGTTATAGCAGGAGAGGTTAATCCATGTAAATCACATGGAGTTAATAAAATCATTTAAAAATAACGTTATATTTAGCTTGATAATCAGAAGTGTTAACACTATGCTTTTAATGTGACAGACTGGATTTGGAAAGCAATATAAAACATAGTTTTGAGTGGATAGATTTTTTTATTTCCACAGCTTAATGATATTGTTGAGATCCTCATGCCTTTTTAAGATATATTCCATCACTTAAATCCAGCCAGAAATAAATAGTGCTAGTTTGCTGAAAACATTTATCTTTTTTAGCTTTCAGTGCTCTGGAGAAGTTAAAAGGGAACTTTTTATTACTCTTTTTTTTACTTTGAGTAGTAGTTGGAAGTAGAGATTGACTTTGTTTCTGTTGTTGGCATAGAGATGTTTTGTTCATGAAAGGAATGAGAATAATACCTGAATAATGTTAACCTGCAAAGAATCAACATATTCTATCTATGCTGAATAGTTATTGGGATGCTTTTTCTCTTTCTCCCCCACCTCTTTTTCCTTTTTTTTCCCCCCCCAATAGGTGACATGTATGCAATGGTTGCAAGGGGACCACACGATGCTGGATATGATTGAGAAGAAACGTTGCCTCTGCAAAGAAATAAAAGCTCGCCAGAGATCAGAAAAAGGACTCTGCAAGCAGGACAGCATGCCTATTTTGCCAAGCTGGAAAAAGAACACTGGGACCAAGAAATACAGCCCTCCTCCTTATTCCAAGCAACAGACTGTTTTCTGGGACACTGCAATTTGACAGGCGCCCGGAGGACGCCCTCGCCACTGTGCTGCGCCGTGCCCAGGTAGCCTGCTCTCTTAGTAAGGCACAGGCTCTCACGTAGGACTTACTGCACGTGTGAACTTCCCGGGAAGAAGCACACCCGTACAGTGCTCACCGGTCCATCAGGAGAGAGATTTAAGTTCCCGACTGGATTAAGGCATACATATTTATCCAGGATTTTTTTTGATCCGGAAGATATCAAAATGTAAATATTTTGCCAATATATTGAAAACACCCAAACTAATACACTGTTTAAATATATATATATCTATAAATTCAGAAATTTATGAAGAATTTTACTATATAATGTTACTGTTATACTGTTTTATTAACTCTTTTCTATGTAGTATTGTAATGTTTTCCCCCCACCACCACCATTTTATTTCTCTTCCCTGCCTAGGCTTGGCCTCTGTACAAAAGCATGTGGTTGTAGGTGTTGTTGACCAGCGCGGTGTGCGAACGCCTCGGTGCTGGGGCTGTACAAGTTACCCAGCCATGCTCAGCACACGCCCTCGGTGGCTGTGGGGCAGCGGGACGGGGTGGAGAGGCGACGGTTTTGGTGGGTCATAATAAAACCGCAAGCAATGCAAATAAAAGTGCTTAACGTGGGTGTCCAAGTGGCATTTAACGTATGAAGCGTTCTGCGCAAGTGCTCGTAAAGCTACTCTTAAACTGCCCCTGGTTTTATACTAATGAGTTATTAAAATCTCCGGCTAGAAGCGTTTAGACAAGGAAGGGAAAAGAATAAAAATTTGGCAGAAAAGCGTGCAAGGGAAACGCTTCCTTCGCCAAGCTGGGCTGGCTCGCGGAGACCGCGGTTCACTGTGACTGAGCGCGGCGGGGCCCGCGGGCACCGGCCCCGGCACCTCGAGGCAGGGGCTCTGCGGCCACCGCTCCCGTCCGCCCTCGTCTTTGGCTCCGAGAGAAAGGTGACATGCCTGTTATTTCTAAATCCAGCAACACTTCCTTACTTTATGCTGCGTCAGATTGACTCGCGCTGGTGGGAAAGGCTGGAATTTGCAGCCCTGGAAAGCCAATAGGGAAATGTCTCTGGATTTCACGTGTTTTTGAAGCAGAGGTCAGCACAGCTCATTGCCCCATGTGTGCCAGTTCTTCCTGGCAGCCTATGTAATTGGCTAAAAATCCATTATTATATCACGCCCATTTTAACAGGATATTATGTCACGACCAAAGAATTATGACCTCCTGGTTTTAACGGGAGAAATAGATGGTTTATACTGATTATGAGGGTGAAATCCATGCAGTGAAATATCTTCCAAAAGGGTCTGTTGAGAATGAGGGAAACTTGTACTGCAGTGGAGTAGGAAAAAAAAAACAAACTATGACATATATTTTGTGTATTCAAATTTCTATCTATGCGCTTACAATTTGGTAGCACAGAAGTCCCCCTTTTAAGCAATCATTTGATATTATTTTCTTTGAGAAGAAAAGATGTGTTTGCAACTTCTTGCCCTATTGGCTTTTCTTTGAAATTATATTACAGAAATGCCACAGGTATAATTGCTGATCAAAAAAACCAAAAATAACAAATTTTAGAAGGTTTTTGTAATCTATATTGCTAAAGTTTGAGTTTGAGTAATGCTTTATCGGTAGCAGTTTCTTTTCAGTCTCTGAAATAATAATAAAGTTTTTAAATATTTTATAACTAATGTATATTTTGATGTCCAAACTGAGATTTCTGTAAAAGATGAAGTGTGTGTTTATATGTGTGTATGTATATTAGCATTATTGTATATGTATATATGCATATGTATACACACATATATATGTATATATGCATGTATCTATATATACCCACAGATGTGTGCATACGTATATACCCACATATATTAAATATTTGTGCGTGTTGTGAATATACAGTGGCTGGAGTAAGAATGCAAATGAAATAGAGATTTAAAGAACCCCTCACAGCCCGACTGACAGAAGGAGAAAAAGACAGAGGCTGTGAAGGTGTCTTTGAACACATGGTACATCCAAAAGACACCAACTGTATATTCTGCTTATTCTTTTTTTTTTTTAAGAAAGAAAATGGCAGAAGAAAAATGCAAGAGATCTCGCAAAGTTCCGCAATCTGCTGCAAAGAAGACGCCTTGTTGGTTGTGAGAAATCTGTTGAGGTGACAGGCTCATTGCTCACAAAGCGTTTGTGCGGTGTCTTCCTCGCCACGGAGCCCCGCGCGCCCCGCGCACGCGTTCGCCCCGCGGCCGCACGCGCTCCCCGCTCCCCTGGGGCAGGGCAAACGCTAGTGTGAACAGCCAGGCGTTTGGTGAGATTGTGTCATATCAACGCGTAATAGGAATAATTATCAGGGAATTGAAGCATTTCTTGTCGTGTACGTTTGGGCTGCCGTAAAAGCCACTTCTTGTGTTGCTTCTCTTGCTCGACACTGTTGGTGTTGTCCCCTTGCCGTAACTGCCCATGTGCTTCCAGATCCCCATTGCGTCCTGTGGAAACAATGGCTTATTGTTTTGAAGTGCAACAGGACACGAGAAAGCAAACTATGACTTAGCACTTAACCGTCAAAGCACTTTAGAAATGCGAGCGGAGCCTCGTTCCTGCAGGAACCGTTCTGCAGAGAAGGGCAGCGAGGCTCAGGCGGAGGTTTCCAAAGGTCCCCGAGAGGCAGAGCGAGGGACCCGCCGCCGTCGCGTCCTGCCGCGGTCGGACCACGCGCTGCTCGCGTCGACGCGGGGCGTCCTGCCGAAAGCGCCATCGACACGCGGCTTAACCACTTTCTGCGTCACCTATTTATTGTCTCAGCAGTTTCTGTGTCACAGGGTGAATGACAGTGCTTAGTAACACACGGTCATTAAAGCTGTAGTCTGTATCGATATGCAATCTGTATATACATACAGATCACATATATACACACACTTGCGAAGACTGTATATATGAAATTGTTTGGTATGCACTTATTTTGCTTTAAACTCCTGGAGTTAAACATTATAGTGTAGCAATTTGTGTAAAGTGCACTGTGATTTCAAGAAAGCACAGTAAAGTCACAGGTCTTGTTATTCTTGCACTAAAAATGTGTTTACGTATATTAGCCAATGTATGTCAACTTTATTGCTCCTTTTGAGAAATTAAAGCAAATGGTATAAAATGGTATGGATTTTTTTTTTGTTTGGGTTTTTTTTTAGTGGACAATGGCACTATGTTTTTAAATGACAGGGTTTTTAAATAAAAAGAAATCATTCTGTGTTCATTCCAATGTAATGCATTTACCAATATCTTAAAACTGAATGTCATGTTGCTTTTTTCATATTTCATTAGAAATTGTCAGGTATGTGCCTGAGATTGTGTAGGAGTAAGGAGTAGCTAGAGGCTAACTGTAATCATATATTACTAGCCGTTTCTATATACACAGTATAAATACATATTAATTTTCTTTTCATTTTTGTACTTGATTTTTTTAGGTAAGATGTAATTAAATGTACTTTGATACTTCTGAAGTAATAAGATGTTGTTTGAAGATCAATTCTGCTTTCTTTAGTGCATTGACAATATTTTACAATAATTTAGTGCTTATTTATTTGTGCTCCAGTGTAATTATAATAAAAAGCAATAGTTTAAAATATTTGGCTGTTCATTTTCATTTGATAGTTTTAACTTAAAACTGAGCTGTCCAGCAGGGATTGGTCGGAGTTTCCTCGGAAGAAACATCAAGTAATAGATGAAGATTCCCTGGGCATGTTTTTAATCACATAATTCATTGGGGTAATTGAATATTCCTTCATTAGGGTAATATTTGCTAGTTATGCCTTGTTGCACCTAGTGCCATGCGTACCGTGCTCAGCTACGTGGGTAGGATAAGCTTTCCTGAAACCGCAGGCAGAAATTTTTCTCTGAGTAGTTTTCAGAGTTTGAGATGGAAGTTGGTTCCTTCAAAGGCCTCCTATCTAAGATCTCCCCCTCCTTTTTTTCTCAAAAAGCTCACAAAAAAACTGCTCAAAAGTCAGTGTAATCCTGTATGATTCCAATCAGAAGCTTTACCCTCAAGGGGATCTAAAATTCATGACTAAATTTCTCACTCTTCAGGGAAAAACAACTGCTCTTATTTTGCTCGAAGGATCCCGTCCATGTGCAGATTTAGGGGCGATCTCTTGGCTCGTCTCTCACAGGAGCTGGCTCTGGCGCAGCTTGTACCCAGGACCTGCCTCCCTGCACCAGGAGCCCCACACCCTTCCTGTGTGAAATACCGGCATTCCCCTTCCTTTCTGCTGCACAGACACCTTTTCTGTGCCAATATTTTTTTAAACAAAGGAGGTTTAAATTAGAAGGAGACGAGACCATAAAAAGTCATAGGTTTTGAGCTTGTCTCTGCTCCAAGTTGAAAGGTGCGCATGGGACTCTATGTTGAGTCTCTTGCTTTAGAAAATCTCAGTAACACTGCCAGGAGCTCCCACGGTCTCTGTGCCCGCTGTGGCTCTGTGACCTGAGCTGGTGCCAGCATGGCCGTGCTGAGTGCGGGGCAGGGGCCCCATCTCTGCCCGGAGCCGAGTAGAGCGGCAGCAAGGCCAGGGCCAGGCCAGGAGGCGCTGGACAGGCCGTGCGCCTGGAGCCTCGGGGTGGGCCAGCACCTCCCTCATGGGGCCATGGCCAGAGCTGCCAGGCCAACATCAGGAAGCTCAGTAAAACTCACAGAAACCAAAGGTGCCTGGAAAGAAACTGAGAGGTGAGGCTAAAACCCTTCAGCATTTGTTTTCTGACCCCTGCCAGCATCCTCTTCATGGCGCCACTTTGCCTTTAAAGCAGAATTAGGCATGTGTGACCTTAGGCGGAGGCTTTTGACACTGCTGGAGGTGGCTGGTGGGTTTAGACTCTCCACCTGTGCCACATCCTCCTGCCCTTGACCCCTGTCCTTTCCTGTTCAAGCCCCTTCCTCCCCACGGCCTCGGGCACGAGGAGCTTCCCTTGGGTGCAAGCTCGCTCTCCCCCTCGCTGTGTGGCGGGAGGCTTCACGCCTGGGGCCACCACCACCAGCAGCTCTACCTTAGGTGACACATTCGCTGGTGCTCAGGCCCAAGGACAAGGGTGAGCAAGTCCTTCTCACAGGCCGCGGGTGCAGAAGGCTGCGCTCAGGAGGCCGCAGCCCCATGGCCTCGCACATGGCCGATCAGGGCTGTGAGGGGCCCTCATGTCTTGTCACTGCTACCCGCCACCAGCCACTGGGGCATCTCCAGAGCCACCGCAGGTGACATCCCGATGACAGGTCGCTCCACATTCCCACATGAATGTCCCGAACACTGTTTATTCCTTCTGAGGTGTGCGGCCTGGCTGAGCAGCCCTGGGCAGCACGCGCCTCTCGCTGGCACCCTCGCCCTCGTGTGAGGGAGGTCATGACGCAGTTTGCACACGTAAATATAAGTAAATAAATAGGTATAAATATATATAGGGTGGGTATTTCCCTGTGGCACT